ACCCCATTCAGCTACTGTTTGGTTGATTGTGTGGCTGCAGTACAGTGGTACCTCAGGTTAAGTACTTAATTCATTCCGGACGTCCGTACTTAACCTGAAACTGTTCTTAACCTGAAGCACCACTTTAGCTAATAGGGCCTGCCGCTGCTGCCACACCGCAGGAGCACAATTTCTGTTCTCATCCTGAAGCAAAGTTCTTAACCTGAGGCACTATTTCCGGGTTAGTGGAGTCTGTAACCTGAAGCATCTGTAACCTGAAGCGTATGTAACCTGAGGTACCACTGTGCATTGTTTATTGCTTTCATTTTATGGATCAATGTTCTCCTTAGATAGTAAAATTCATGTTCAATTGCTGTTTTAGGGGTTAGTTTTTAAAAGTCTGGAACGGATTAATCCATTTTACATTACTTTCTATGGGGAACCGTGCCTTGGTTTTGGAACGCTTTGGTTTTGGAACGGATTTCTGGAACAGATTAAGTTTGAGAACCAAGGTACCACTGTATTCTTTCTTCCTCTCCTTCCTTTAAGAGGGCCATCCAACCTCTGCTTAAAAACCTCCAAGGAAGGAGAGTCCACCACCTCCTGAACCTCCACCGCGCAACTGCTCTTAATGTCAGAAAGTTCTTCCTGATGTTGTCAGAATCTCCTTCCTTTTAAATTGAAGTCCTTGTTTCAAGGTGGTTGTCACCGATGGAAGCGAAGGCTCAGAAAAAGCTCAATATGGAGGCCAAATGGCCGAAATATTGGGAAATTCTGGAACAAGAGGGAGACAAATTGAAATTGCAGAGCTTTGAAAAACTAAAAAACAAAGTGCGAGATTGGCTTCATTATTATCAAATAATGGAGGCATACAATTTGGATAAGAAAATTGGTTTCCAGGTGGAAAAATCAAAATTGGAAACAGAACTGTTAGATCCCAAAACTAAGACTCTGTCAAAGATGTATAACTTGCTGTTGAAATGGAATACTCAGGATGAAACGGTGAAATCTGCTATGATTAAATGGGCACAAGATGTTGGACATAACATTATGATGGCTGACTGGGAATGGTTATGAAGGTATGAAGTTCACGGCATGTAATGCCTTAAGAGAGAATATTATGAAAATGATATACAGGTGGTACATGACACCAGTCAAGCTTGCAAAAATCTATCATTTGCCAGATAATAAATGTTGGAAATGTAAAGAAACTGAAGGTACATTCTTTCACCTTTGGTGGACATGCCCAAGGATTAAGGCTTTCTGGGAGATGATCTATAATGAAATGAAAAAGGTATTTAAATATACCTTTCTGAAGAAACCAGAGGCCTTTCTCCTGGGCATGGTTGGCCAATTGGTGCCAAAGAAGGATAGAACTTTCTTTATGTATGCTACAACAGCAGCAAGAATACTTATTGCAAAGCATTGGAAGACACAAGATCTACCCACCCTGGAAGAATGGCAGATGAAGGTGATGGACTATATGGAACTGGCGGAAATGACTGGCAGAATCTGAGACCAGGGAGAAGAGTCGGTGGAAGAAGATTGGAAGAAATTTAAAGACTATTTACAGAAATACTGCAAAATTAATGAATGTTAGAATGATGTCGGAATGAAGTTAAGTGGTTTTAGCAGCAATGTTACAAAGGAGTATGTAAAAATGGATTGTTAACAGGTGAGAATCTAAAGTTATAATATATTAAGATAAAGGATTAAGATAAAAGCAAAGAGGGAAAGGATTTGCTGAATTAACTAACTGAACTGGAATACAAAAAAGGGAGGTGTGAGGAGGTCAGGGAAACAAGTAAATGAAAGATAAGACATGGAAAGATTGATTTGTATTTAATTGTTTTTATTTTTCTGTATTTTCTCTTTTCTTTTTTTCTTTTTTCTTTTTTCTATTTTTGTAACCTTTTCTGAAACTTTAATAAATATCATTTTTTTAAAAAAAGAAGTCCTTGTTTCAAGTCCTACCCTCCAGAGCGAGTGATACCAAGCTTGCTCATTCTTCCATGAAGGTCCCATATCAAATTGGGTGGGGGATTGCATGTTGAGATTCTTGCATTGTACGGGGCTGGGCTGGATGACCCCCAGGGTCCCTTCCGACTCAACAGTTCCACGATTCTGTGCAGCAAAGCGAGGAAGTGCAAAGCTTTTCTCCTGTGCCCTCTGCTGCCTCTGCTCTGCCCAATGAGCCTCAGTGTCCCGGAATGACTTCCATCAGCTTCGGCTGCTGTCCCAGCTACGCCCCTATCTGGACAGGGATAGCCTAACTACTGTCTATGCTCCGCTAACCTCAAGGTTAGATTACTGCAATGTGTTGTACATAGGGCTGCCTCTGAAGACTGTTCGGAAACTTCAGCTGGTGCAGAATTCAGTGGTCAGAATTCAGGCAAGACGGTTTAAGCATATTACACTGATCCCGGTCCAACTGCACTGGCTGCCAATGAGTTTCCGGGCCCAATTCAAAGTGCTGGTTTTGACCTATAAAGCCTTAAATGTCTCAGGACTGCAATACCTCAAGGACCGCCTCTTTCCATATGAACCGACACAGACCCTGAGATCATATTCCGAGGCGCTCCTTCCTGTGCCTCCTCCTCGAGAGGTGTGGAGGGTGGCAACACGAGAACGGGGCCTTCTCTGCAGTGGCTCCTCATCTGTGGAATGCTCTTCCCCAGGGAAGTTCGCCTGGCTCCTTCATTACACACCTTTAGGCGCCAGGCAAAAAGGTTCCTTTTTAACCAGGCCTTTAGTTGATCAGATTTACATCCCATGCCCTTTTAAAATGTAGCTCTTTCCTGGGTATGTGTATGTGTGTTATTGGGTTGTTGTTTTAATGTATTTTTAATCTTTTGTTGGAAGCTGCCCAGAGTGGCTGGGGAAACCCAGCCGGATGGTTGGGGTATAAATAATAAATTGAGATCTTTCCTGTGAACCATCCTGAGACCTCCAGGTATAGGTAAAGGGACCCCTGACCATGAGGTCCAGTTGTGGCCGATTCTGGGGTTGCGGTGCTCATCTCGCTTTATTGGCCGAGGGAGCCAGCGTACAGCTTCTGGGTCATGTGGCCAGCAGGACTAAGCCGCTTCTGGCGAACCAGAGCAGCGCATGGAAATGCCGTTTACCTTCCCGCCGCAGTGGTACCTATTTATCTACTTGCAGGTTGATGTGCTTTCGAACTGCTATGTTGGCAGGAGCAGGGACCGAGCAACGGGAGCTCACCCTGTTGCGGGGATTCGAACCGCCGACCTTCTGATCGGCAAGCCCTAGGCTCTGTGGTTTAACCCACAGCGCCACCCGCGTCCCATAGGGCGGTATATAAACTCAATTAATAATAATAATAGTAATAATATCTAGTAGCCAGCAGTGCCCAATGCTCCTTCAAGCCCGGCACCTCCCGCGCCTCTTAACTATGCCAAGGCCCAGATAAATACCCCATCTCATATACTTGCCACCGGGCGCCTGGTCCTGCAGGGTTAATTCTTGGTGCCAGGGTGCCAAATGAGCTTCCGCCCGCTGCTCCCCACAATGCTCTCAGCCACTGGCCCAGCCGCCCGGCACTCCTAATGAAGTGGCCGCCGGAATCTGAGATGCAATCGGTAGCCAGCGATCGATTTGCCCCGAGGCGCCTTTGCTGAATGACAGGCAGATGCGTGAGCAGAGAGAGAGAGAGATAGAGATAGAGAGGCCTGGCACGAGCCACGCTGTTAATTTTTGTTTGTGGGCACGCGCCAGCAGAGGAAAAGGGAGGGGGGGTCTCCCGCGCGCGATGGATTTCTCTCTCTTTTATTTTCTACCCCCAGGGCAGATGTGCTACTCAGGTTTCGGCTTTAGCCTAGCAATCAGCTCTGGAGGGAAGTGCAGAGTTCGATTCCCGCTCCCTGCTAACGACTTGTCTGATTATCATTTTTATGATCGCAGGGCAAAAGTAGGAGGGGGGTGGGTGAGGAAGCAAGGGACTTTGGCAAACGGCTGCACTGTTCCCAAAATGGAAGAGTAATGAAATCCCCTCTATACAAGATTGGATCCAAAAGCTGACAGAATATGCCGAATTAGATGGTTTATCAGAAAAAATAAAGAATAAATCAAAACAGGAATTTGTTTCAAAATGGGAGGTTTTCAAAGAATATCTGAAAAATAAATATAGGAGTTTAAATTCTGTTGCAGCATTCGAGCAACTTCAGTAATAGTTGCAAGGTAGATATAAGAAATTAGATTTATTAAGACTAAGTTTAATTATGATAAAAGTGTGTATTGGCAATAAGTAATATGAATTTGAAACATGGAATAGACGGGAGGTTGGGTCTTTAGTGTTAAGACCAAAAGATGTTTTATGGCTTGCTAAGAAAATTATGTGTCTATAGTTATTCTTGTGTGTAATTTGGTATATGTGTTTTTTTTCCCTTTTTTCTTGTTGTATCGATAAAAAACTTTATTAAAAAAGAAAAAAAGAAACGGCTGCGCCGTTCCTCACCCCCACCTGCTTGCACCTCCAAGATGGACAAATTTGGTCCAGGGTTTCCTCTTCCCAAAAAGATCAGGTGAGGAGTGCTGGACCACAGTGGGCAGCTGGAGGGGGCAAGGGAGAATTTTCCTGCAGAGTTGCCACAACGCCACCTGCCCAATTACCCTGAAAATGGAACAGATGGCAATATGCCCCCAAGATGTTCTTTGGAAACATTTAGATCTCTGCTTTTTTTGCATTCTCACTCGTCCATCTCATTATCTCTCTCCCTGCTTCTTGCAGAACAGCTTAATATAAGGTGGGGTGGAATTAGGCAAGTATCCCCCCCAAGGGGTTATCGGGGAGAGTAGGAGGAATTATGGGTAAGGAGGAAATGGCCATCGAAGAATGCCAAGCCGGGCCGGCTGTCAAGATTATTAAATGCCCTGGAGCTGCTGAGGTTTTTGAGTGCCCTGGGGGCCTGGTTAATGTCAATACCAAACTGGAGGAAGTAAAGGAGAGAGAGGAAGGGGGGGCAGGGAGAAATATCCAAAACCAGCCGAGGCCTTGGAATGAAAGCAGCCCTGAGCAGAATATAGAACGGTAAGGCTGCGGGAAAGAACCGGAGGTTTGCTAATGCAGCTTCTCGCCCCGAGACATGTCTGGAGAATCGGGCGGATCGTGGCTCCAAATGGTCGAGGCGTGAAGCCACTCTCTCAGACCACATTCTCGGACTCGTGCCTCGATTACTCTCAAACGCACTCTCCCACAATCTGCTCCATGGCTTGTTGTTGTTTAGTTGTTTAGTCGTGTCCGACTCTTCGTGACCCCTGGACCAGAGCACGCCAGGCCCTCCTGTCTTCCACTGCCTCCCGCAGTTTGGTCAAACTCATGCTGGTAGCTTCGAGAACACTGTCCCACCATCTCGTCCTCTGCCGTCCCCTTCTCCTTGTGCCCTCCATCTTTCCCAACATCAGGGTCTTTTCCAGGGAGTCTTCTCTTCTCATGAGGTGGCCAAAGTATTGGAGCCTCAGCTTCAGGATCTATCCTTCCAGTGAGCACTCAGGGCTGATTTCCTTCAGAATGGAGAGGTTTGTCCATGGGACTCTCAAGAGTCTCCTCCAGAACCATAATTCAAAAGCATCAATTCTTCGGCGACCAGCCTTCTTTATGGTCCAGCTCTCACTTCCATCCATGGCTTAGATAAAGGTAAAGAAGGGAACGGTAAAGGACCGCTGGACGGTTAAGTCCAGTCCAAGGCGACTATGGGGTTGCGGCGCTCATCTCGCTTTCAGGCCCAGGGAGCCAGCGTTTGTCCACAGACAGCTTTCCGGGTCATGTGGCCAACAGGACTAAACCACTTCTGGTGCAATGGGACACCGTGACAGAAACCTGAGCACATGGAAACATCACTTACCTTCCTGCCACAGCGGTACCTATTTATCTACTTGCACTGGTGTGCTTTCGAACTGCTAGAATGGCAGGAGCTGGGACAGAGCAACAGGAGCTCACCCTGTCTCAGGGATTTGAACCGCCAACCTTCTGATTGGCAAGCCCAGGAGGCTCAATGGTTTGGACCACAGCGCCACCTGTATCCCCGCCATGGCTTAAACATAGACCCAGATGCAGATTATACCGTTTGGGCAACCCAAACGGTCAAGGGGTTGGAGCGACTCCCCGATAAAGAAATATTGCCAAGTTGGGGACTTTTTAGTTTAGAGAAAGGTGAGTGAGAGGAGACATGATAGAGGTTTATAAGGCATGGGATGGACAAACGTTTTTCTCCCTCTTTCATAACCCTAGAACCGTGGGCATCTGAATGTTGGGAGATGTAGGACGGATAAAAGAATGAACTTCTCCACGCAGCACCTAAGGAAGACCTAGGAAGCAGCCATGGCCAAACAGTATGTGCCTAGTGGTCACAGCAACTCTTCCCAGCAGGTCTTCCCCGAATGGGGCAGTTGTGAGGACTGAAGGCCCCCAGCGTCCCACCGCTATGTCTCCTCCTGCCCCAGGTCCTTCCCAGGCAACCTGAGACTTCTCCGCCTTGTCTGCCTTTGCTCTGCTCTCTTCATGCCTCTGTGGGTTCTGGGAGACCAAAGGGGAAGGGAGCTTGTGGCAACAGGAGGGGGAGACTTCCTGGCTTCTTCAACAGCCTCCCTCACCTCTGCATCTTGGCCTCTTTCCTCTCCATCTTCTGCCTCTGATTCTGGACTGTTCTCTGACACAGTCTCTTTTTAATCTATATGAAGCCGCTGAGAGAGATCATCAGGGGGTTTGGGCTGGGTGTTTATCAGTATGCAGATGATACCCAGCTCTACCTCTCTTTTAAATCAGAACCAGTGAAGGCGGTGAAGGTCCTGTGTGAGTGCCTGGAGGAGGTTGGAGGATGGATGGTGGCTAACAGATTGAGGTTGAATCCTGACAAGACTGAAGTACTGTTTTTGGGGGACGGGGCGGGCAGGTGTGGAGGACTCCCATGTCCTGAATGGGTTAACTGTGCCCCTGAAGGACCAGGTGCGCAGCCTAGGAGTCATTTTGGACTCACTGCTGTCCAGGAGGCACAGGTCAATTCTGTGTCCAGGGCAGCTGTCTACCAGCTCCATCTGGTACGCAGGATGAGACCCTACCTTCCTGAGGACTGTCTTGCCAGAGTGGTGCATGCTATAGTTATCTCCCGCTTGGACTACTGCAATGCGCTCTACGTGGGGCTACCTTTGAAGGTGACCCGGAAACTGCAATTAATCCAGAATGCGGCAGCTAGACTGGTGACTGGGAGCGGCTGCTGGGACCACATAACACCGGTCCTGAGAGATCTGCATTGGCTCCCAGTATGTTTCTGAGCACAATTCAAAGTGTTGGTGCTGACCTTGAAAGACCTAAACGGCCTTGGTCCTGTTATACCTGAAGGAGCATCTCCACCCCCATCGTTCTGCCCAGACACTGAGGTCCAGCGCCAGGGGCCTTCTGGCGGTTCCCTCATTGTGAGAAGTGAGGTTACAGGGAACCAGGCAGAGGGCCTTCTCAGTGGTGGCGCCCACCCTGTAGAACGCCCTCCCTTCAGATATGAAGGAAATAAGCAGCTATCTTCTCTTTAAAAGACATCTGAAGGGAGCCCTGTTTAGGGAAGCTTTTAATATTTAATGCTGTATTGTTTTTAACACTTGATTGGAAGCCGCCCAGAGTGAGTGGCTGGGGAAACTCAGCCAGATGGGCTGGGTATAAATAATGAATTATTATTATTATTCCTTCTCACCAAACCCTGTTTCCTTTTCAGCTTCCCACACCTCTTCTCCCTCTGACCACAACCACTGCCTGGGTTCTGAGTCTTCTTCCCTTGAGGGTTCCCCAGCTGGTTCTACCCACCACTACTTTGCACCCAGCCTGCCTGTTGATTCAATTCCTGCTCTTGTTCCTGATGAATGACCTTCACTCACCTCGTACCTACGGGACCGCCTCTCCCGGTATGTCCCACGGAGGACCTTACGGTCTTCAAACCAAAACATCTTGGAGATCCCGGGCCACAGGGAGGTTAGGCCGGCCTCAACCAGAGCCAGGGCCTTTTCGGCTGTGGCCCCGATCTGGTGGAACGCTCTGTCACAAGAGACTAGGGCCCTACGGGACTTGACATCTTTCTGCAGGGCCTGCAACACAGAGCTGTTCCACCAGGCCTTTGGCCAAGGCACAATCCTTCGGTAATCCTCACAGAACTCTAGCTCAATGGTTGCCATTAATTTGATTCTGTATTTTTTATATATATATAATTTTTATTGAATGATTTTATGTTACAAAAAACAATACAGCCATACTACCACTAAATATAACTAAGAAATAAAAATTACATACATCGATATTTAGTTTGTTATTTGTTATTTACTGTCTTATTTCCTCCCAAACATTGCATACAACAACACACATATGTGCAGACACCCACACGCCCACACCCACACACAAAATGATAATAATGAAAGTAAATATTTCCCCCCCTTTAATCTTCCAAAATCTTTTCTTCAACTTTGACTTCCTGTCAAGTCCCTTTGCATATATTGTGATGTATCTATATCAATATATATTGATTTTAGAATGAACTGATTTTAGAATGTATTTCAATTAATAGATTGCGATTTTATGTAAACTGTGTTCCTTTTACTGTTGCTAGACACTCTGAGCCCGGCTTCGGCTTGGGAGGGCGGGATATAAATAAATTAATAATAATAATAATAATAATAATAATAATATTCTCCCCAAGTAGAGGCATGTACACCATTTTGTGGCTCAATTGGGACCCACCTGGCCCTACAAAATTAAAGAACCTGGCCTTTCTGCACCTTGTTGGCAGCTAGATGCCAGCCTTGACACTGTGCCCGGTTTGTCACCCCCTGCTCAGAGACGTGGGTTAAGTGCAGACTTGCAAAGGCAGGCTCTCTCCTTCTCCCACAACTCTGCTAAACAAGGAGGCCGGGTTTTGAGACAATTTGCGGGCCAAAGAGCACTCCCGGGCTGGGCCTTCAATTATATTTTGGAAAGGGGGAGGAAAAGGAGCCTGTTCTTCTTTGATTTCGCCCCCACCTTACGAAGCAGGAGCATCTGCACAGCTCCGAACCTGCCTCCTCCAGCAACCATCCAGGGCTGGAAGCAGTAATGAAACTCTTAACAATGCCCACTGGGACCTCGATCTGGCCATTCCAGATGTCTCTGCCGCAGAACCAAGCTGACTATGCGCTGCGACGGCTCCTGCCGCCAGCCAGCTAGCAGAAACCCTGACCTCAATCAGCCTTTTGTAGACGACAGCTCTTCCCCCCCCCACAGTTGCCCGCCTGCTGAGGTCATCTGTGCTTAATGTTTGTGCCACGCAGGTACCATGAAGCACACAAAAACGGCGCTTCTTGCTAAGCCGGAGTTAACGTTCCTGCAATGGCCCTTTTCCCATAACCCAGAGGAGAAGTTAGAGGAATGTAACCCGCTTTTTCCGAGGGCAACCGGGGACAGGCGAATTGGTCAACTTGGGGTTTTTCACCGTTTCTCATACCCTCACCCAGTCTTCCAGATTTCCACATCAGTTCCATCTGCATCTTCTACAGTTCTATGACTTTCCATGGCTGTTTATGATACGATATGATAATCTTATTGTCATTGTCCCATACAGAACAACGAATTTGAAAAAATCTACACCAGACATTCAAAAAAAACCCAAGCCTGCTATCCCAGCTATCTCAACCTGGTTAGCCCCCTAAAAACTCTGATACCCCATAACTGAATACAATATACTCACATAGAGACTACCTTACACTGTGCTTAAAACCAAAATCGCATTTGCGTAGAAACTGTTTCTCAGGCGGCTAGTCCTAGTCTTTATAACCCTGGACCTTCTTCCAGAAGGCAGAAGCTGAAAGAGATCATTTCCGGGGTGCGCACTGTCCTGCGCTATCTCTGCAGCTTTCTTATGGCACCTGGAAGCGTAGATTTGATCCAAGGTGGGAAGAGTGCAACCAATTATTCTCTCCGCAGTCTTTACAACCCTGGACAGCGTTGTTTTTTCCCTGACCGTGCAGCTCCCAAACCACACACACAGACCATAAATTAATACCCTTTCCACAGTGCAATGGTAAAATGCCATCAACAGGTCCTTTGAGAGGTTGTTTTTCCAGTTTGTGCTTAAAACTGTCCTTGTGAAAATTCACCAGCATTCCTTGGAAGACACAAGATTTACCCACTCTGGAAGAATGGCAGATGAAAATGATGGACTATATGGAATTGGCGGAAATGACTGGCAGAATCCGTGACCAGGGAGAAGAGTCGGTGGAAGAAGATTGGAAGAAATTTAAAGATTATTTACAGAAACATTGCAAAATCAATGAATGTTAGAGTGATGTTGGATTGAAGTTAAGTGGCTTCTAGCTGAATAGGTTTTAAGGCTACAAATGTATCAAGATTAAGGATTAGGACCAAAAAGGCTAAGAGAAATGGAAAAATTGGTTTAAATAGGTAAAAATCTAATGTCATAATATATTAAGATTTAGGATTGGAATTAAAAAGGAGGGAAAGAAATTGCTGGGCTTACAAACTGAATTGGAATACAAAAGAGGGAGGTATGAGGAAGTCCGGGAAACAAGTAAATGTAAAAGAGGTTATGAAAGGACGGAACTATCTTTAACTGTTTTTCCTTTTTTCCTTTTTCCTTTTTTTTACTTTTTTCTATTTTGTATTTTGTATTTTGTATGGTGTATTTTTCTCTGTTTTTGTTAAAATTTTCTTGTTTATTAATGTGATTTTATTCTTTCTGAAACTTTAATAAATATTTTAAAAAAAATAAAAAAATTCACCAGCATTCCAATGCGAATTTCTCCCAACACACCGACGATTGTATGCAGTTTTGCCTAATACACACATATTTGCAGAGCTATTTCCCTCTGATATCATGCATAATGTTTTGCATTTTCTTTCCACAGGTATGTGCATCTTGCCGCATGCTTGACATTAGCGCACGCAGTCATGCACACATGACTTGCTCGGAGAACTGCGTTGCAAAATTCGGAGGAGGGTTGTGCAAATTGGGCTTTGCATATTGTTTCAGAAAGCGCAAATCAGGGAGGTCCATTCTTATGTGTAAGCCAATAATAATAATAATAATAATAATAATAATAATAATAATAATTTATTATTTGTACCCCACCCATCTGGCTGGGTTTCCCCAGCCACTCTGGGCGGCTTCCATAGAAACCAAAAATACACTAAAATATCACACATTAAAAACTTCCCTGAAGGGCTGCCTTAAGATGTCTTCTGAATGTCAGGTAGTTGTTTATCGCTTTGACATCTGTTGGGAGGGCGTTCCACAGGGCGGGCACCACTACCGAGAAGGCCCTTTGCCTGGTTCCCTGTAGCTTTGCTTCTCGCAATGAGGGAACCGCCAGAAGGCCCTCGGCGCTGGACCTCAGCATCTGGGCAGAACGATGGGGGTGGAGACGCTCCTTCAGGTATACTGGGCCAAGCCTAATTGAATTCCCTGCCCTGCCATTCCTATATGTGGTCCTCAGTCAAACTGCATGTAAAGGTAAAGGGACACCTGACCATTAGGTCCAGTCGTGACCGACTCTGGGGTTGCAGCGCTCATCTCGCTTTACTGGCCGAGGGAGCCGGCGTACAGCTTCCGGGTCATGTGACCAGCATGACTGAGCCGCTTCTGGCGAACCAGAGCAGCGCACGGAAATGCGGTTTACCTTCCCGCCATAGTGGTACCTATTTATCTACTTGGACTGGTGTGCTTTCGAACTGCTAGGTTGACAGGAGCAGGGACCGAGCAACGGGAGCTCACCCCATCGCAGGGATTCGAACCGCTGACCTTCTGATTGGCAAGTCCTAGGCTCTGTGGTTTAACCCACAGCGCCACCCGTGTCCCTCAAACTGCATGTAGTGTTGGCCTGTTTTCACGTGGATGGCAAGGAGGGGGGCAGATAGAAAGAAGGTGTCAGGGAATGCGAAAAGGGTGTGTCAGAGAGGGGTGCCTGTGGATGGCAGAAAGAGAGTTAGAAGAGGTGGTCAACACCTGTTGTGGTTCTGGTCCCACCCAGCACTGACTTCAGGCTCACTCCCTGGTGGAATGCAGCAGGCCTGCAGATCAGCCCCATGGGAACGAACCCTTGACAGAGAAAATCTTCCTCACCCCTGACAGTTTGCTGGGGCATACAGTCCCCTGAGCAATTTCTGCATTGCAGTTGCTGTAAGAGAGCTGGAAGTCTTCCTTTCAAAATTAGAACACCAGAATAGCCTGCCTAATCTTTCTTTCTTTAGCGATCCCTCGTAGCCAAGTTAGATGGTCACCCATGAGCACGGTCTTAACAGTGAGTCCATAAGTGACTGTGGAGGCCAATTCTGGATCCACACGTCCTTCCACAGTGGGGACAGAGGTTTCCGGGCGGGAGCTGATCACGGTTAAGGTTTGCCAAGCATGCCTTCCTCTCAGCACATTTCTCCCTTGCGTCCTGAGTTCGAGTGTCTTCAAAGCCCACGACACTTTGGTAAAGGCTGTTCTCCAACTGGAGCGCTCACAGGCCAGTGTTTCCCAGTTGCCGGTGTTTATACTACATTTTTAAAGATTTGCCTTGAGAGAGTCTTTCAACCTCTTTGTTGACCACCAGCATTACGCTTACCATTTTTAGGTTCGGAATAGAGTAGCTACTTTGGAAGACGATAATCAGGCATCCAAACAACATGACCAGTCCAACAAAGTTGATGTTGAAGAATCATTGCTTTGACACTGGTGATCTTTGCTTCTTCCAGTACACTGGCATTAGTTTGCCTGTCTTCCCAAGTGATGCGTAAAAATTTTCGGAGACACCATTGATGGAATCTTCCGAGGAGTTGGCATTTATAAGTGGTCCATGTTTCACAAGTGCACAGTAAAGTTGGTAGTACAATAGCTTTGTAAACAAGCATTTTAGTTTCCTTGCGAATGTTCTGGTCCTAAAACACTTTGCGCTTCAATTGGGAGAAAGCTGCACTTGCAGAGCTCAGGCAGTGC